AAGAGGAGCGTATTCTAGCATATATTTCTATGATAATTCCATCATTAGATTCTCACTAAGAATCAGGACGCATGCTCCTGATGCTAAGAGTCCCGCATGATGTCCCCGCAGTACATAATCTGGGCAACGTTAGTGTGTTAGCGATGCGCCTATTCACTAGAAGGTTATATTTTGTGATGATTAATCAATTTAATATGGTTAGGCGGTATCTCAGCACTATTGTCTGTAATAGGTTTGTTGATCAGTGCTGTGTTTATAATTTAGCGCAGAAGCCTAAGCTGTAGCGTGCAAAATCCCCTATTCATCGCCTCCGCCCGCTTTTTTCCCCTGCCGACTCGGCTATCTTATATATACAAGAACCCAAATACCGTCTATGGTGTGGTGGCGATTTTACGCATTAATTGGTCGTACGGTAAAAATACACGCCCCCGGACCCCTCCTAGTTTCCCCCCTCCCCCTCCCCCTACCCCTCCCTTCCCCCCTGTTTGAATTTCATCCTGGGGAGAACCCTGAGCGTCACAGCACACTCGCAGCGGCGAGTGCGGGAGCGTTCGGCGTTAGTTTTTACATAGGTTTTTATGAAGGAAAGTTGATATACAGTGTCGCAACAGTGGAACTGTAACAGAGGGGTACGCCAGTAGGGCCTATTTGTGAATGTGTGTTCATATTATTTTCAGTTTTTACTGACTCTGTCTCAAGTACCTGTGGTTAGAATACCGTTTCAAATTCTTGCCCACAATTCCTTGTAGTTGGCTCGGTATCCAACCATCGACACAGCTAGCGTCACATGTAATAGTTCAAACGAATCTATAAACCTCTGGCTTGCTCACGGTAACTGGGCGCTACTGGGCGCTACTTATTTATCGAGTTATGCCGTATTTTCTGAGATGAATTGGATCAAAACAACTAGACAGCCGCCATGTCCGCCATGTTCAGTGCGACTAAAATCGGCAGTGGACCTGATTTTCACAGTGCGTAGGCCTAAACACACGGCAAGTACATATCTTCGCAATGATAATTATTAAATTGTTGTAGATTGATGTTTCCTGGTTTTCAATGTTTTAATATATATATATATACGAGTATATGATGCTTATTTATGCTCGCGCCAACGCGAGTTGCAACGCTATGGGTGTGTTATGTCGTTTCGGGTTTTCCGCGTTCCTATCGTAAAACATGCGCAGTGGAAACATGGCGGTTGGCGGTTGGTTGAAATTTTGGTTCGGCTCTTGAAATTTACACTGCACAGCGAACTGAGGTATTAGTTTTAATAACAACGCCGGAATACTACAAGGTGAAGGTTATACTTGATACAAAACAAGGCAGAAATGCTTAGATGATTATTTTATTTGAGATATACGTAATTGTTCGGCAGTTTTTATAGAGGTGCAAGATTTTACAATGGATGGATGTCAGGCTGTATATTGACGTTAGTCACACAGCCTGGTCGGGTTAGGTACGGTAGTACTCTCTCTAGTCACTATACTGTAACTATACCCTATAGTCTGTAGTCTATACTTTAGTACTTTACATTACGTTTAGTACATTACTTGATCAGTAATAATGACATTAATATGCCAGGCATACCGTGCAATGAGCAACCTTAGTCTAGATTATGGAACTTGAAGCCAAGATTATGTTCAGTTGATTCGCTTTCGTGAGGAGTAGGTTATAAATTATAATTAAACTACATAATAACAGACATAGCTAAAACAGAACAGAACCCTAAACTCGAATCTAATGCTGAATCGGCCCCCCCTAATCCGTAATCGCTGTCACAAGAATTGTTTGCATCGGTAATTATTTAAGTTTACGAAATTAAATCGAAAATCTACTCGAACACCGCGCTTTCCACAGATCCCAGCAGGGGGCGCCTGCAGCACTTTCCGCTGCTGCTGCAGTGTGGACATACTTTCTGCGAGTCGTGCGTGATGCGGATGGGAGCGAGCGGCAGCAGCAGCAGCAGCAGCAGCAGCGCACGGAAGCAGCAGCAGCATCCCAACATTATCATCTGTCCTACATGCAAGGTTTGAGGCTAGACTTAAGCGCGTACCCAGGAGGGGGGGGGGGGTCCTGGAGGCCCTAGGACACCCCAATCAAAATCAAAATCCCCCCCAAAAAAAATCTCTATTTTCTTTTTCTCTTAAAAGCGCGTAGCTGGCCTAAGCCAGTATTGTCAACAAAACAGCGTCTAAATTGATTTTAAAGCACTATTTTTACATTTAACTAAAAAAAAAAATTTCAGACCACCAGACCCCCCTTGTTACTCGCTTGAGGACCCCCCCCCCAATCCAAATTCCTGGCTACGCCCTTGGCTAGACTTGTCGATCGCCTGTTCTCAACTTCGAGAACAACCTCGTTTGTCACTTTGATACATGCGTTCGTTGCTGAATCCTAGATTGCGACCCCATTATATATAGTTCGCACATGTGTTAAACTAATTCGTGGTGCTAAGCTAGTATTGGGCTAAATACGCCATTATTACATTTACTCATTTTACTTCGCTATCGTTCTTTTGTTTCCGCGGACGAACGCGATTCGTTTCTCGCAAGTAGCCCCATTCTTTTGTTTCCGCAGACGAACGCAATTCGTTTGTCGCCGTTTACCCGTTCTCTTGTTTCGCGCAGAAGGTGACGGTGGTCGGCGGCGAACGCAGGGCTACGGTGCTGCCCCCTGACCTCTACATCCTCGGGATGCTGGAGCACGCGAGAACGCTCATCCACGAGGACAGGTGAGCGACAGGCGTCGACGATAACGAAGATAACAAACACCAAAATAACAAAATAACAATTAAAATGACCAGAAACGAGAAATCATAACTCGACTGGCTACTTATTCTGAACGAAAATTATTTTTATTACAATTTTTTTTATTATTATTAGCTCATCTGACATAGTCAGATGCAGCTTGTAGAATCGCATGATCGTAAGCGCATGCGCAATATCTCACTAGAAGAGTTATATTTTGTGATGATTATCAATTTAATATGGTTAGGGGGTAGCTCAGCATAGATTTCTGAAATGAACTGTTATCAGAAGACCTGTGTTTATAACTAGAAGAGTGCCCTAGCCTGTAGGGTGCAAAATCCCTACTTCATCCGCTCACGCCCATCCCCTTGCCTCCATTGTTTTTCGCTCAGCCTCCTTCTTTTTCTGCCGCGCCAGCTATCTTCCCTGCTGCCTTTCCCCAGTCTCTCAACACTCACTCCCTTTCTCAGCAAGCTATATTATGCAGTTGTATTTAGTCCGTATTGCACTCCTGAAACGTGCGCAATATCTCTCGAGAATATTAATTTTTTGTGACAATTATGCATTTAAAATAGAGAGGAGGTATATTCTAGCATAGATTTCTATGATAAAATTCCATCAGTAGACCTCAGTTAAGAAACAGGACGATGATCCTGCATGTAAGGTCCCCGCTGCATATACAAGCAAATGCATAATCTGGCTAGGTTAGTGTGTTAGCGCATGCGCAATATCTAAATAGCAGAGTTATATTTTGTGATGACTATGAATTTAATATGGTTAGGGGGTATCTCAGCATAGATTTCTGCAATTAATTCTTATCAGTAGACCTGTCTTCATAATTAGCAGAGCGTATTATTTTGTAGGGTGTAGGCCTATTCCTCAAATTTCATCATCTTCCGTCCCATCCCTGCTTCCCTCCTGTCTCCTTCGCCTTCTCATGTCCTTATGCTATCTCCCCTGTCGCATTCCTTGTTCACCTCGATCCCACGCCCTCTCTTCTTCAACAAACTATATTTTCCATTTTTTGGGGGGTCCGTATTGCACGCCAGAAACAGCTATTGCTCTCGCATGCGCATTATCTCACCCTATGATCTCACCAGAGAAATATCATTTTGGAAAGAATTATTGAATTAAAATGAAGATGAGGTATTCTAGCACCGATGTGTTTAAAAAAATTCCATTATTTAAAACAATCTTCATCACGAATAACATCACTGTTTGAGTTGATTATTTTTACCTTTTGGGGACACCAATAGACTAAAATTGCTTACTACCAAATCCTGTGCCTGTACTGGAGGTTGCAGTGCAGACTTACCTAGGCTAAAATACCTTTACCCTGAAATTCTAGTGGTGGCGGGGACCGTCCCCTGTGCTACCTGACCCTCCTTGACAAAAACTTTACAGCACTGGAATCATCTCCCCACTGAGAATTTGATAAACGTATGATGTTACTAAGAAGTGAGAACCTAACTGCCCAAAGCGGAAATCATGCGAAAAACAACCACGATTTTGAACCAATCGTGCCATATTTTCAGACCCCTTATACAAAATTCGGGAATATACTTCCTGTTCGGCGGTTTCTCAGCACCCCCAGTCCCCCCTCCAAAAAAGTGAGATGAATTGAATTTTCCCATTCAACTCCCTGAAATTCAATATCCAACTCTCAATTAGGTCTGATTTTCTAATTTGTTGAATAAAGCAAGGATTTAACTTTCGTGCAGCAGTGATAAGACGTTGATTTAGGGGTTTTTGAAAAACAAAATCGTATATGCATGGGGAATGCGTCCAAAATTTAAACCGTCTGTAGCTTCAGTAAAATAATGTCATTCTTGGAACGAATTACAGCCTATTCTTACAGTTAGATGGTATGTCACGCTTCCATTTTCTGTAATAATACATGGTAGAGAGTATGGAATAGGCGATGACGGATTTGGCTAGATAAATATCCAGTATTTATTTGTCTGTAAAATATTAAATTCTTTCCCCCATTTTCTTCCTGAAGAGTAGGGGTGATGAAAGCCACCTCACCTCACGTGGTGGCGAGGGGGTATACCCCCATCCCCCGCTATCCTACGGCCTGTCAAGGAACTCAAATTTAATTTTGATATGCGCATACAATATTTACTAATATAATCTTGTTGCAGATACTCTACAGGCGCGCGGAGACGATTTTTGAAGTGGGGTGCTAAATTTGTTACGCTCAGAGCAGTGGCAATGCAGAATTTCGAGGAGGGTGGTAAGAAACATGCGGGGGTATGCGGGTCCTCCGCAGAAAATTTTGGAATCCCCCATGTTTCCCTCCTGAAAGTAGGGGGGGATGATTGTACACGCCATCCCCCCACGTCAATGAAGTGGGGCGGATGCATCCCCCGCATCCCCCCGCTATCTACGGCCCCTGTCTTATTGCACAAATAAACTTGTTTTCAATCTTCATCTTCAATCTTCACTATCAGTCCGGTCCAACCATGAGTAATTTTCTTGTCAGTACATGCCTGCGCATGCGCCGCATTCTACACACAGTAGAGGCGCCACCTGGTTGTGTTTATCGTATCGTTTGATGATAATGCGGCGTGTTTTTCGGAAATATTTTCGATTCGATGACAAGTAAATTTAAGTTCGTATTTGAGAACACCTTAAATGAATAAGAATACTGCTGGAGTGTTGGGAAGTCGACGCAAGAGAGTTGTTAATTGCCAATAGATAACTTGTGATTACCATGGCAACTTTACACTTTCAGTAGGCTTCCTACGGTGTTCTGTGTGTAATCATTAGTGTACACTCCGAAAAGGTGATTAATGTAACTTTAATTAATTAAGGTAATTAATTTGCGGTAGTTAAATGTATTGTGCCTTTTAATCTCTAACGTAACATCAAATCATTATATGTACTTGCTTCGCATTTCCATCGTGTTTCAGATAGTTACGTATAAATTATAATTATTATTTACATATTGCCGTGTTGAACTAGGACGTTATAGATACAATATGTAACCCAAACCCAAGAGGATAGGGGTTACAAAGCCTCCCTATTCCTTTTTGTGCGGAGGAATGCCCGAGTGAATCAGCGTTCGGGCCGGTTTGACTGGTGCGTTTCAGATACTAGTACTTCAACTGGTGTTTATTCTCGAACACGAACCTTCTTTCGCCCTATCGCGCCGGATACGTTACTATGTATCGCAATACTCTGTATTAAACTTAATATCAACCTGTGTACAAAAAATATCGAAGTGACGAGCGGGCGGATTATTTTCGAGCGCCATTTCTTGATGACCTGTGAGCGTTACGCATTCCCTATGCGCATAGCGTTCGGTTTCTAACTTCGTCATGGACGTCACGACTGACAGCAGGTCATCCCATGATATATTCGTATCTTGAGTCGAAGGTTAGCCCGACACGCTATGACGCATGGGAGATGCGTACGGTCACAAGGTCAACAGAAATGCAGGCGGCTCGAAATATCCGTCCGCTCGTCACTTCGATTTTTGCTTAACAGGTTATATTAGGTTTAATACCCAGAGTATTGCGATACGATTAGTAAGTTCCCGGGATAGCGGCAGAAGGTTTCGTGTTGAGAAGTAAAACCCAGTTTGGAAGTTCTAGTCTCTGGAAACACGCACAAAGCAAACCGGCCGAGTGATTCACTCGGGCATTCCTCCGGCCACAAAAGGATAGGGAGGCGTGACCTATCCTCGTTTTGGGTTTTGGGTTACATTATGCTATCTTAGGGTACGTGTATAGCTTTCTCAAGAAACGGTAATTGCTTAGCGGGTTTAGAATCGACAGGGCCAACTTGCGACAGAGTCAGTAAAAAACTGAAAATAATAATGCATACACTACAAAATTTTTTTCCACAAATTAGGCCCTACTCGTGACCCTCTGTTACAGTGTCCACTGTTGGCGACCTGCTTATTATCAAACTTTCCTCATTATAAACCTATGTAAAAAACTAACGCCGAACGCCTCCCTTCACTCGCGCCTGGCGCGCAGTGTTGCTGTTGACGCTATCAGCGGAATAATTTCCCGGTATCGCATTCGCTAATTTGCGATGCATATTTCAGCCATTTTGCTACGCATATTTTTTATGAAGTCGCCAGTTTGTGCGATGCAGCCCATGCGAGATGTAAACGCGGGGAAACATACATGTTTTACATTTACATTTAATATTCTCGGCTGCAATATGTGCCCCGTCAATGAAATGACCCACGTTACCCCAGATTTTATTGGATGTTGTAACACCACTGGCCAAGGTGACTTAAACATCCTGCACTCCCCCGCCCCCCCCCGTAATCAGTTTCTAATAATGCGCTCCGCCCAGGCACGTGTATACACAGGCCCACAGCTGTGCTGGCGTGCCTGGCGACCGCTCTCGCGCTGGGTGTTTCTTGCGGCGACCTTTGGTGATATAAAGTGAGGATGTCCGTTGGTTCGAGGAGTCAGAATCAGAAGCCGCCCTATCACAATCGCTAGTAGAACTTTGATCTCATTCAGTCATGTTTGGATAATGGATTACCGTCTGATAACCGGAACACATTTGGTTATAGGTATACCTAGACAATGTATTTTACTCGCAGCAGTCACTAACGCCCAGAGTTGCAAATCAAGCCTTTCAGCTTTCACCATCGCCTCCGGAATCCCGAGTGATAAAACTTAATGGTTTTCACTCGATTGGCGATAGCAGCTGGCGGAAGCCGACGTGCCAATGCTTAGCAGATTACAGGCTGTTTTAACTGTGCATGCCGGCGGGTGAGTCGGTTGTTGCCAGAAGGCACTCCTTCAGTTTGTGTGTCCGTAGGTTGAGCTTAGGCTGTGCCTGTCACAGGCCGACACTGATAACGTTAGTGAGACCATTATCAGCATGCACTGCGGGTGTTAATGATTGACACTCTGATGTGTTCTTTGTCTGAAAAAAAGTGAGACTCCATAGACTATATTATAGATCCACCAAATTCGGCTATGCATTAATTTTATTTTGATATAGCACATTT